GAAAACTTGGTCAGACGGACTCAGGTGCGCAGAATCCAGGCACAGGGTTGGACCTAGTGAGAGACCCAGCGACCGTGGGGAAACAGCAAGGGAGCCAGGCTGCAGGTTGACTGTGGTCACGCATTTGTGTGGGGACAGACAAGCGAGGGAGTGGGCGATTGGGGACCCAGCGGGTCCCTGCAGCAAGTGGCAGCTGAGGGCGTGTGATTTCCCCGCTCTGACCCCATCTCCACATACAGTGTCATAACCCAGCGACTTTGAGTGGCCCGGCCCTGGTGAACCACCTAAGGCTCTGCTCCTCACCCAGCGGCACGAAACAGCAGAGGGGGCCGCCATTTCCCAGCTCTGACCACGCCCCCACATACAGCGTCACAACCCAGCAACCTGGGAGTCCAAGGCTCCACTCCTCACACTTAAAGGGTGCGAACAGACCAAAAATGGCTCAAGAAGATCTCAAAGCCCCAGAGCCTATAAATCTAAGTGATGAAGAAATAGCAAAACTCTCAGACGCACAGTTTAAAACACTGGTGATCAGGATCCTCACAGAACTGGTTGATTATAGCCACAAATTAGACAAACATGAAGGCGAAACTAATTGAAATGAATGGAATTGCACAGGAGACCAATAGCGATGAAAAGGAAACTGGGACTCAAATCAATGGAGTGGACCAGAAGAAAGCAAATACTGGCCAAACAGAAAAGAGTGAAGAAGCAAGAATTCAAAAAAATGAAGAGAGTCTTAGGAACCTCCAGGACATCTTTAAACGTTCCAACATCCGAATTATAGGGGTACCAGAGGGGGAAAGGAACAGCCACCAGTGGAAAACTTATTTGAACAAATAATATAGAAGAATTTCCCCAATCTGGCAAAGGAAATAGACTTCCAGGAAATCCAGGAAGCTCAGAGAATCCCAAAGAAGTTGAACCCAAGAAGAAACACACCAAGGCACATCATTACATTAGCCAAGATTAAAATGAAGGAGAGAATCCTAGAAGCAGCAAGAGCTAAGGGGACAGTGACCTACAAAGGAGTTCCCATCAGACTGTCAGCGGATTTCTCAAAAGAGACCTTACAGGCAAGAAGGGGCTGGAAAGAGGTATTCCAAGTCATGAAATCTAAAGACCTACAACCAAGATTGCTCTATCCAGCAAAACTTTCATTTAGAATGGAAGGACAGATAAAGTGCTTCTCAGATAAGATCAAATTCAAGGAGTTCATCATCACCAAGCCCTTATTATATGAAATGTTCAAGGGACTTACCTAAGAAAAAGAAGATAAAAAAACATGAAAGATTAAAAAAACATGCAGTGAAAGGACAGCAAACTCACAGTTATTAACAACTACACCTAAAACAAAAGCAAACTAAAAGAACAGCCAGATCAGGAGTGGAAACATAGAAATGAAGATCTCAAGGAGGGTTAGCAACAGGGGAGTGGGAGAAGGAGGGAGAAGGTACAGAAAATAAGTAGCATAGACAGTAGATAGAAAATAGATGGGGGGACAAGAATAGTATGGGAAATACAGAATCTAAAGAACTTGAGACACATGGTCATAAACTAAAGGGGGGTAATGGGTACAGGGAGGTAGGGTGGAGGGGAATGAAGGGGGGGAATAGAACAACTGTAATGGCATAATCAATAAAATAAATTTAAACAAATAAAATAAAATGTATATAAGCATACCTTTTATATAGAGTAGCCAATGTTTATTACATAACAACTTTTGCTGTTACGAGTGATTTTTAAAAAAGCAAAAGTAAAGCTTTTTACAAAAAACTTCTGTAGATGCTGCCTTCTTGGTTTTGTTTAATAATTTGACAGGGTTCACCTATACTGATGACAACTGCACACTATAATACAAAAGGTAATTGTAATTTACCATACATTTAAGCACAACTAAGTAAAATAAACTAATATACTAGAACTTTGATACTTCTGACTTGTTTCATGAAGAAACTGTGACATTCTTCAGTAGATATGGCTATGTATTCTATGTCTTAATCTTGTTCTTGGTTTCTTATTGTTCGTCTTTTTTGTCACACCCTATTCTCCCAGTGTTGAAAATTGGTATATTGGTTTCTTCCTTAATACAGTTTTCTGAATACAGTTTGCTGACAAATTACTTTTGCATCTAATTCCTCAGAGTTCTTCCTGTTTTTGTTTTTGTTTGTTTCAGGAGGGTGAGCACATGGGATTTTAAGGCTTCTTCCCTGTAATAATGCCTACAAAATTAATGCTGATTAATGGTCTTGTTTGGAAAGGCCTAAATCCTGATTTTTAATCTTAGTTGTGCATTAATTTGCCCAGGTAAATAGGTGGGCATAAGGCTGCTTCTTAATGTCGACTAAGCAACTTCTTGATTGGAATTTGTGGGATCATGGGTGCCATACCATTTTCTATGTAAAATCATTAACCATTCCCTATAACTAATACAGCTGAAAGGCTAAACTGCCCTTTCACTCCATCTAATTGTCTACATATTAAGCCATTCTTTCTCCTGTCTCCACACCCACTTCCCATGGCAAACAACGGAATTACAGCACGTGGCTCATGTGTTATATTACCGGTAATAGTTCACTTTAATGCTAACAAGTCTATAGTGGCTGTTACCTAAGGTAATTTGGGCCCAATTAGTATCTCTTAAGCATTCTGCTCTGTGGCCAGCATTCTTTTAAACCTTGTAACATGGCAAACCCATGGTTTAAGATCCAGCTAGCCCAGCAAGGCTTTAGTTTACATTGATTACTATACGTAAAAACCTGTCCCTCTCCTGTAAGAAGAGGCTTTATTGTCCTTACATCACTGTTAAAGATCTGTAAGATTGAAAAGATTCCTAAATGAAGATAAAGCTTTGTTTGATCTGACATTAATCAAACCTACACTCTTAATAAAGGAATATAACATTGTTTAATATATTCTTTAGAGAGCAGTCTAGTATTAACTACACATCTATCCTAGCACCAAAGTGTTTTAAAAACAAAAAACACCTCAATTCTCAGCTGATATCATAAAATAATCCCATATATCTGGAAATAAGGACTAGCTCGATGGTTTTAGGTAAAAGTAGACACACATAATCCATTGTTCTCTCTTCCTCCTTAAAGGTATATTTTGTTTTGACATTTATCAGGGTTCTTTACAAAATACACGTTGGAATTAATAACATGTATATATGGTTCCATAAATTATTTTGATATACTAATCTATGCAAACATTCCAAGACGATTTAAAAGATTCTACTGACTTGTTTAAAATACATCTTTTACCACAATTGTCATCTAGAAAAATAAACATTTCCAGTCACAAAACCACGCTGTTTCCCCTTTGTTTCTGCGTATTCCTGGAAGAACAGAGCCACTGACTTTGAATGCTACCTACTGTCGCCCTTACCTTAGAGTGCTTTTTTTCCCTTTCCTAACTAACATCTTTCAATGTCGGTGCTCTTGATATCAAAGAATTCAATTTATCATGTGCTCATTGGGATTTGTTAGACACTTCTGGCAAAACATGTCACTTTCTATCAAGCAAACCAAGAGTTTTCTACCCGCCCCACTGAGGATCTTTGAAGATTCCTATTTCTGAATGTGTCTTGCTACATTAAAGAGTAAGTGTCCTTTTGTGAACAAATCAGAAAACCACACAACTAAGTGCTTGCAGAATTAAAAACCAAAACACTCCTGAATAGACACAATCCCTATGGCACCTTGCCTAGGTGGTCTTTCCCTGATAAAAACGAGGACAAAGCATTCCTACCTCTACATGATTGCAACCTCGTTGCCAGGGTACACTACCTGCTGCGGGCCCCCACAGTCTATGTGGTAGTCCTGGTAGAATTTATAGCATTGTCCAACTAAACTGAAGTGGAAGCATTTTTTAAAAACTGTTAATACTCACTACGGAGATCTGGGGTGGGAGGTAGATATTGGGAAGGATGTTTTCAAAGGCCAGTTCAAAATAGTTCAAAATAGTTCAAAAACAGTGTCAAAATAAAGTTTAACATCTTTTAGTAACTAGAAGGGTTCAACTCGAATCTTTTTCTCCTTATTAAATACAATTAAGGCAAAATAACACCAAATCCACTGTGGGGACAGCTTCACTGCAAATTGAAAAACTGCCATTCTAAAGTTCAAGGATAGTAGAACAAGTTTAAATACCTTTTGTACACATGTACACATATGAATTTGTGACTGAAAATGCTACAGTAGTAATTTACAATGGAAACAAGGTTTATATGTATGCAATGTAAAGGATATTTCAGTGACCCTCTACTGGTAGAATGATAAAGTTTTTGAAAAGCAAGTATTTCTCATTGATATTATCCAAATGGTCAAAGTAGTATACACACTGAAGCATATAAATGGACTGGGAGCCATACAAAGTTTTTTAAGTTTAAGACCAGTAATCAGCTTATAGTGACAATGCTTTTATATAATACTCAATGGCACCAATTTGTATTGTAAAAAACTTAGTTGTAAATGCCTGACTCTTGTAAGAATATATTCAGAGGCAAATGCCTCCACCATTTATATAGATAAGCATTGAAATTTTTATTTAATTTAAATTTTCTTCAATTACTGAATCACCAAGTGCCTGATCAAAGGCAATCCTCGTTTCAAAATGTATGTTCAATGCCCTCCCTTCCTCTTTTATTTCCTGACACCACATTATGGAGTAGAATTGTTTTGGGAAGAAATTATTTCCACAGGTAACTAATTAAGAACAGTGGAAACATTATTTTATTCCATTTAGTAGCCTGGTCATTTTCCTTCATGGATTTTACTTGCCTAACCTACAAATACCCTAACCCGTACGAGCCAACACACTAGCATGGTCCAACTAAGTCAATGTTTCTGGTAATCATGACTTCTAGAACCCAACAGAGAAATTAGTATTTTTCCCCTTTCCATATGAAATTTAGGTTTTTAAAAAGGAATACTTTCAGGTTATGATGGGACTCTTTTAATAGACAATAGACATAACCAGAACACCCAAATTTATAATGGTAAATTATAATATTCTCAAATTTCCCTTGAAATTAGTTTTTAGTAACAAAGTACTTACTCATAATTCTTAGAAAAGATCAACCCAGTGTGTAAAGATGAGTTGCAAGTATATTCTACAACTGTTCTTTAATAGTATTCAATTCTGTAGAAAAATGCAAACATCATCTTTATTGTTAACATTTGGTTCTGTAAACAAAGTTGGCAAAAAAACAAACAAGAATTTTTATACATTTATAAAAGTTTCAAGAATATAATCTTTATCACATTTGAAAAGTGTTTATTATTTTAAAGTCTAAAAGCCAGTAAATGTAGAAGTTGAAAGGGAAGAAGAAAACACTGACAACAGACTATTTGAAGCTTCCTCCCTGCAGATATGAAAAACATCACCTATACTATCATTTTCTGTATAGCTTGTGAAACCCAAAAATTCTGACTTTTCTTCACTAGTCTGAAATAAGTCCAGTAGAGACTGTGAACTACAAATTCTGTTTTCCTTTTGTGTAGTAAGACAGTCAGTTCTTCTCTTATATAATTCCACATTTGGCTCAAGATTTTCCTTTTTATTTCTTCCTAACAATATTTTCACTTTCCGACAGATTTTACCAGAAGGTAAGTTATCCTTATTCTTGATGTCACATTCACTGGATTCCTCAGGACGACTTGGGGGTGGAGTATTTGCCTGAACAGGAAGGTGCTCCCGTGAACTGCTTATTGCTAACAGACCAGAATCATGAGCAAATACTGAATGAAGGTCCTTTTCCTTCAGATCCTTTGCTGGCAGCAGCACAGTATCTGACTTTTGTTTTGGTTGAGATGTACTATTATCCATTATGAAATCAGAAACTTGTACGGATGTCTGTAGCCTACATGGACTGTGATCTGTTCTTACTTCTTCCAAGTCATTTTCACCTATAATTAATTTATGTTTAGAAACATCAAGAATATATTCTTGTTCATTTTGATCTGGAGGTAGATGAGTAAAATTGTGTTTTATGTCATTTTCAGCTGGATTTAACATAGAACATTTATTGGTTGTTTTCTCATCAAGTTCTCTCAATTCATTTGAAGGATAAGGGATGTGCTCTGAAGTAAACACAAGTTGTTCTTTAAGTTGTTGGGTTTCTTTATATTGAAAATTATGCTTGATCACCTGTACATTATTTTCCATGAAGTCCTTCTGAGAAGTAGGTGGCAATTCTAGCTTTTCCTTTGGCTGAAACTTTTTCAGTATATTTGCAGTAACAGGAGAAAAAGATCCAAGACTGCATTTTAATCTTTATAGAAAAAAAGAAATAAAAATTAATTGCTATAAAAATTTCTGGTTAGAAATTAGTAAAAAATCTTTAAGAACTATTTACAAAATTTAATTAAGTCAATATTCCAAAAATACAAAAATGTTAGCATTCAGTCAAATTTACTGTAGATGTTTTTAAAGAAATAAAACGTTACAGATACACCTTATTTTTGGACCATAAGATGCACCTATGTTTTAGAGGAAAACAGGAAATAAAATTTTGAAGCAAAAAATGTGATAAAATATTTAATAACATAACTAACTTAGTATTTCACCAATGTAAATGCAAAGCTACGTTCAGACTGTAAGGAGCAATCCCAGCCCTGGCTGGTGTGGCTCAGTGGATTGAGCTCAGGCTACAAATCAAAGGGTTGCCATTTAGATTCCCAGTCAGAGCACATGTCTGGGTTGCAGGCCAGGTTCCCAGTGGGGGCCATGTGAGGTAACCACACATTGATGTTTCTCTCCCTTTCTCCCCCACTCTCTAAAAATAAATAAAATCTTAAAAAAAAAAAAGAAGCAACCCCAGCTTCCCCCAAATTGGGGGGTGGGTGCATCTTATAGTCCAAAAATACAGTTGCTAAAAACTACTTCTAACCCACAGTCTTCCAGAGGTAGATTAGAAAACTACTTCTAACCCTTTATTCCAGAGATAATCAGTATCTTCAATTGGGTGTTTAAAACTATCTTAATCATATGAATCAAAGAAAAATAATAGTAAAGAGATTTGGATCTCTTCCTAAATTTTTTATTATCCTGAAAATTTATTAACTTCTTTGGTTCAAATTACATTAATGTTGTCTACTTCAGGTAGGAATGAGGAAATGAGTATTTATTGGGAAACCTAAGGCAGAAACATGTATCTCTTTACTTAAAGTCTAAAATATCTAATGATAGCAAATATCTTTATATGTCTATTGATGACAAATGGAACCTCTTGGTGCCCTTGGCAGACCAATTTATATTAGACAATCCAAAATTATAAACAAGTAGGAAGAAACTTAATGGCTTACTAATTGTGTTTTATGTAATATATGTTACAGATAACACAGAGAATACAGAATTCTACCTCCCCCTTCAAAACCAGAATGGTTCCTTTTATATTTATTTAATTTAATTTTAATTTATGATTCCTTTTGAACAAAGGGAGTATAAAAAAATATAAAAACATCCCTGGCTGGTGTAGCTCAGTGGATTAAGCTCGGGCCTGTGAACCAGAGGGATCGCGGTTCAATTCCCAGTCAGGGCACATGCCTGGGTTGCAGGCAGGTTTCCCTGCAGGCTAGTTCCCTGCAGGGGATGCACCAGAAGCAACCACATATTGATGTTTCTCTCCCTCTCTCCTTCCCTTCCCTTCTAAAGATAAATAAATAAAATCTTTATACACATACACACACACACACACACACACACACACACAAACACTAGTCTAACACCATTCATCTCCTTTAAAGTCCAGAGATGTTTAGGTGACTTGCCCATAGAAATTATACAGATAATAACATAACTGATTAAGAAATACCTGCTGATATATAAGTATTAGTTCAGAATTTTATTGCAGATTGAGGTTTTTAGGAAATTCTAAATTTTTACAGTAGCCCCATATAATTTTAGTAGTCAGAAATATGTCTCTTCTCTAAATATCATACTTTAAGTCAGCCATGAACAACCACTATGAATATTACAGAGAAATATGAGGTTTAGGAACTATTCTACTTAGATACAGTCAAAAAACTTTCTAGTTAATGTTCAGAAGCTATAGCTTAGTATATTTTCTAATCTTCTTTATGCCTTAACATGAATCTAAGAACAGATACAAGGACTGAAAAACCCACTGAGTTATCACAAACCCTAGGGTTTATTCACATGAAAAGCATTTCTTTTTATTTCAGATTTATGTGTACAATCTCACAGGACCATTTTGTTGATGTACAGCTACTATACATTAAATAGCACTATATTCATATTTATAAGTCCTGTCAATACCTTTGGTAATTATTATTAGCAAGCAGAGTTTAAGCAGAAACATTTAATAAAGTATAAGCAAGACTTAATAGAGGTAAGTGGAAAAAGGCTCCTTAAAACTTAAGATTAACAATTCTAGCTTTTTTGGTTCAAGTAGATGGTAAACTTCATGGTTTAACAGGGGTTGACAAACTGTACAACACATAGGCTAAATCTAGACTGCTGTCTATTTCCTAAATAAAGTTTCATTGGCCCTGGCTGGTGTGGCTCAGTAGATTGAGTGCCAGCCTGCAAACCAAAAGGTTGTCGATTAAGATTCCCAATCAGGGCACATGCCTGAGTTGTGTGCCAACTCCCTAGTAGACAGCACATGAGACGCAACCACACATTGATGTTTCCCTCCCTCCCTTCCCCTCTCTAAAAATAATAAATAAAGTTCTAAAAAACTAAGTTTCATTGGAACACAGCCACACCCATTCATTTACAAAATGTCTACGGCTGCTTCGGTTGTACAATGGCAAAGCTGAGTCTAAAGGTTCTCAGGTTCTCAAAGCCTAAAACATTTACTATCTGGTTCTTTAATTAAAAAAACCCTCTGCTAGACTATAATGTTAAGAGGACCTTCAAAGTAATCTACACTGTAGAAAAGTGCTTGTAAGTAAGCCCTTTTGGTAGTAGAGAAGAGAAAAGAGAAAGTAATCAGTTCTACATCCTCAAAATATGTATCTTTCTAAGAACAGCAAACTTTAGATTTAGTTTTAGTTTAGTAAAATAGTTTAATATTATAGTAAAACTTAAAATTTAGATGGATAAATTACCTTTTCTTTTTAGGCATGCCCCTTTCATATTCCACAAAGTCAAATACTAACTTAGATATGATATTGTCAACAACCTGATAGTGATTACTCTGTGCAAAGTTTCTGTGTTCCTCAGTTAGGAGATGCTGAAACAGAACAAAAGTCATAAAATTATATTTTTAAACCAAAAGATACCTTTCTGTTCATGTTTTCTAACATTTACTTGCCCCTAAAATTAGGTTTCTAATAACTACTCCAAAGTAATATATTTTACTAGAACTTCAAAGGATGTTAAGAAGTAAAAGTAACTTCTGAGAAACCACCAAACTATAGCTGACCCTTGAATGACACAAGGGTTAGTGAAGCTAATTCCTGTGCAGTTGAAAAATCCATGCATAACTACACCAGCCATTCCTCTGCATCTGTAGGATATTGGGTCCATGACCCTCTGCAGATACCAAAATCCAAAAAGGCTCAAGTTTCCTATATGAAGTGCCATAGATCAATGCACGCAGTTGGCCCGCAGCATCCACAGACTCCCAATTTGGGATCAAAAACAGTACAGGTATTTCTTGAAAACAATCCACATATTTCAGTGGATGGGTACAGATGAAACCCATTTGTTCAAGGGTCAACCATACTTAGGTTTTCAGTCTTCCATTTTTCAATGAGAAAAGTCAAGTATTGATCTGCAGTTTCAATGTAACTGAAAACAAATGAGCTACTATCAGAAAACAAAAATAAAAATGGAGATAAAGTTAACATTTAACATTTATAATGTGCTAATGTTTTTGAAAACACTTTTCCTTTTACTATTTTATTTTATCCCATACAATTACCATTAAGTAAGGGAGGTCTTATAAAATATTCAATGAAAGAAATGTTGTAATTTAATATGCAAGAAACCAAAACAAGAAGCTATAAGGTAGGTTAAACATACAAATGAAGTACAATGAATGCTGCAAAGTATAAAAGAAAAAGATTCATAACTGAGGAACACATGTGCAAAGGAGCAGATGATTGTATTACCCAGGGCTTATAATTGAGAATACAGAAGTTATTCTCAATCTTAAGAGTGGTCAAAAACAAAAGTAAATAAGTTCACCATATTGAAATAAAACTCACAGGAAACAAAGTTCCTTCTGAATAGGTAGAATTTTCCAGCCAATTCTGTCATTTGCCTGTCAGCTAATCAGGAGTTATAGCTCCAAGCTTATATCAAGATGATCATGGAAGAACCTCACTTCTGTTTGGCTAGTTTTATGTAATTTTAACTTTTGAAGATTTGATTGTATTTCCAGAAGTTAAGTTCTCCAGTCTCACAAAAAATACAATATGACTGACCCTCAAATAACTCCATGTTTAGGGGTGCCAAACCCCTACAAAGCCGAAAATCTGAGTATAACTTTGACTCCCTTAAAATATTAATAGCCTAGTGTTAACCAGGAAGCCTTAAGAATGTAAACAATTAACATACATTTGTGTGTTTATGTTATATTTATGAGATGCGCTGTCTTAGTATCTACATCAATAATGTCTTATATAAAACACTGTAGATGTTACACACATTACTAACAGTTGACATTAAAGATAAAAATATGAAATAAATTCCTCTTTATTTATAGGTACAATGATTCATGCACTGATTACAAAGCATCAATACAATTATTTCACAGAAGTAAGGAAATCTCAAAAAAGGTTTTTCAATATATTTATTGAAAAGAATATGCATATAATTGGCCCTGCACAGTTCAAACCCATGCTGTTCAAGGGTCAATTATATTCCAGAATATGTGTGTATGTATTCCTTCCTTAAAAATTTACCACATAAAAATTATGTATGTCCAGTAATGTTAAATGAATAAAAAAAATAATTAAAACTTAAAGAAAAAAATAAACTCTCTAAGTACTGATTCAATTTATTCATGTTCTTGGAAGGAAAAATATCTTATAAATGGAAATAAATTAGAAACACAGCCTCGAACTTTTGTGTAGTTCCCCTCTACCTCCACCAGTCTCTTCCTACTTATCCTGTAGGTGTTGATTTAAATGTCGTTTTCTCAGTTGAGCCTTTGTGTCCCTCATTAACATAAAGTACCTTCATTAGTACCATTGTACTTTGTACTTCACTTTTATGACTCATCCTACTTGCAAATACATGTTTTATATTTATTATCTCTGCCAAACCACAAGATATATAGAAAATATGTCTGCCTTGTTATTGTTTAATCTTCAGTTATCACAGTTTTTAAAGAAATGCCTCAATATAGTCTAAGAAGTATATAAAGGAAAAACTGTCAAAGAAACATTTTAAAAGATCAATCCCAACATCTATTTTCCTTCATTGTGGCTTCTAGTGACCAAGGTTTTCATTTTCTAGCCCCAACATTTTCCAAGCATCAAATTAGCATAACAAGCTGATATTAAGGAAAGCATCCATTCCAGATTATTCTATTGTAATAACAGCAAAATAGAATTTAAGGACAATCTATAATTTAAATTTTCAAAATAACTTTTGGGAATGGGAAATATTTCTCATATAGTTTAGCTTCTGATTAAAAGTAATTTAAAATTAATTGTACTTTTATCCTTTACTATATTAACAAAAAACTAGAGACTTCTGGTCAAGATGGTGGCATAGGTAAACACAGCTTACCTCCTCGCACAGCCACATGAAACTTAGAACTAAATTATAGAACAACCATCACTAAGAACCACCAGAAATCAAGCTGAATGGAAGTCTGACAATTATGGATTTAGAGAAACCACTTCCATCTAGACTGGTAGGAGGGGCAGAGATGCAGAACAGGCTGGCCCCACACCCACGTGTGGTGGATAAAAATTCCAGAGGGGTATCTCGGGAGTGAGGAACCATGCCCCAGCCCAGGGTTAGTGCCAGAAAGGTAAGTCCCCCTAACTTCCGGGTACAAAAACTAGCAGGGACACAGTGGGTGGAAGAAACTGTTAAGAGTCCCAAGCAGTTCCTCTTAAAGAATCCACACAGGGACCCACCTACTCAAACTCACTCCCTCTGAGCTCCAGCACCTTGATAGGAGCTTGAAAGGCACCAGTGGCATATAGGGAGAAAGTGAAGCGGCTGGCATCAAAGCCAGAGCTAGGGGAACAGCTCTCTCCCAGACAGAAAAACCACTATCCCTTATCTGAACCCTCCCCACATGGAGCCACAGCAGGTACAATATCTTGAGACTCTAGCAACCTGCCTAACACTGTCTACCCTGGAGATCTTCTGAGACTCTGAGTCCCACTCAATTTACAGGCCCATACAAGGTGTTAACAGAGACTTTTCCTTATGAATAGCTGACCTTGGCTTATGCTTTAGCAACTTCCTAAATCCTTTCAAACAAGCAACAGCTGACCTCAGTGAGCCTCTAGCCCCTATACCTCTCACTAAGTGGCCCTAGCAGCAGGTAGTCAAGATTCAGTTTGGTTTCACCTAGGAATCTCCAAGCCCAGCACAAGTACCATCTCAGATTGCTTTATACCCCAGGCAGGGTAGCCCAGGGCAAAACATAGGTGGGGGCTGACCATTGCCTGCATCACCAGGGAAACCGCAGGGCTAGCACACCCAGTGGACAGCTACAGGCCATGGCAGAGCACTAACACCCTGACCCTGCATAGTTAACTCTCCACAGAGGGTGGAGATTGGTTAGTAAGTGGTCACAGCCAACCCTTATAGTTTACTAGCCTGGGTAAATCCCTCCCATTGATCTGCCAACAGCCATAAAGGCTTATCTGCAAGAGAAGGGTGTACTCAGCCCACATGAAAGGTGCACCTCAAGTACCAAGCCTGGGTGATAGGGGAGGCTGTGCCACTGGACCCTACAGGACAAGTACTACATTAGGCCATACTACCAAGACACAGAGTCACGGTAGCTTGACCTAATACATAGAAACAAACAAAGAGAGGGTGCCAAAATAAGGAGACAAAAAAACATGATCCAAATGAAAAAAACAAATCAAACCTCCAGAGAAAGAACTAAAGAAAATGGAGATAAGCAATCTATCAGATGCAGAGTTCAAAACACTGGTTATAAGGATGCTCAAGGGACTTAGTGAGGACCTGAGCAGCATAAAAAAGACCCAGGCACAAATGAGGATTCACTCACTGAAATAAAAAACAATTTACAGGGAAGCAACAGTAGAGTGATTGAAGCAGAGAATCAAATCAATGATTTGGAACATGAGGAAGCAAAAAACCAGGCAATCAGAACAAGAAGAAAAAAATATCTAAAAAACAAATAAATAAATGAGGATGGTGTAAGCAGTCTATGGGACAACATCAAGCTTCCAACATGTGCATTATAGGCGTGCCAGAAGAAGAAAAGAAAGAGCAAGAAACTAGAAATATATTTGAAAAAATAATTTAAGAAAACTTTCATAATTTGGTAGAGGAAATAAACATGCCAGTCCAGGAAGCACTAAGTCCCAAACAAGATGGACGCAGAGAGGCCAACTCCAAGACACATCATAATTAAAATGCCAAAGGTTAAAGATAAAGAGAGAATCTTAAAACCAACAAGAGAATAGCAGTTAGTTACTACAGGAGAATTTCCATAAAACTGTTCAGTTGATTTTTTTTAAAAGAAACTTTGCAGGCTAGAAGGCACTGGTCAGAAATATTCAAAGTCATGAAAAGCAGGGACCTACAGCCAAGATTGCTTTACCCAGAAAAGATATCATTAAGAATCAAAAGGCATAAAAGAACTTCCCAGACAAGAAAAAAACTAAAGGAGTTCATTATCACCAAACCATTATTATATGAAATGTTAAATTAACTTATTTAAGACAAGAAGATCAGAACTATGAACAAGAAAATGGCAATAAATACATATTCATCAACAATTGAATCTAAAAAACAAACTCAGCAAACAAGAACAGAGACAGAATCATGGATACGAAGGGGGTTTTGATGATTGCCAGAAGGGAGGGGTGCGTGGGGGAATAAGTGAAGAGGTGAGGGGATTAAGAAGTACAAATAGGTAGTTACAGAATAGCCATGGGGATGTAAGTTACAGTACAGGAAATGGAATAACTGTAGACATGACCTATGGACATGAGGACTGCCTGAGGGAGTGGGAAGTGTTGGGTGGAGGGGGGCAAAGAGGGAAAAATTGGGACAACTGCATGGGCATAATCAATAAAATATAATTAGAAAAACACAAACTGAAACAAAGCAGTACTATTTTTGGATAAAACAACCAAACTTCAATTAAGAATCTATATAAAAGACATTTTATGAATCAGATATTTAAAAATATTATTCTTTCTCCTTAACTTTTCCACCATCTTCTACCAAAACCAAGCACCAAAGTAAATCTACCCATTATTTAGAAAACTACCAATTCAAATTATAACAACTAACATTTAGAAAGCACAGTGCCAGGAACTGTCCAAGATCACACAAACAGGAAGCCAGGATCTAAATTTTTTTTTTAACTTAAATCACTTTATAAACTTTAACTTACATGATGTTGCCAGTTAGGTACTCCTTGTCTAGTCTAAAAAAATGGCAACAATGCCATTATTGCTTTATATTTTCTCATGCCATTGATCCCAATGTTCTATGTGTTTCATTATTCTTTGATCCTATGGTTACCTATTTCTCCACCCCCTCCATAAGAAGTAATCTTCACAAGGGCAGGGAATAGGTCTCTTTGTTCAATGCCATTTGCCCAGAGCAGTGATTATTACATAGTAAACACACAATAAATATTTGTTGAATAAAAAATATTTTTCAATATACATTTCTGCTCTTTGTGTTCTTAAAATTTCAGATAATCCTATCAAAAAGAAGCATATACTACTTAATAACTTATCAAATTATAAACCACCATCAGATATTTATTCATAGTTTTAGAAATATGAACCCCCAAACAAAAAAAATCACATTTACAGTTTCAAGATCTTCATATTTTTGCAAGCAACATTCACAATATCCTTTTTTTTTCTTCTCTTTCAGTTGGAGTTGAATTGGGATTCCACCACATTTATCGCCATCTGTTTGGATTCTGATGGAAATATATGGTAAAAGAATTAACTGCCAAAAATAAGGAATAATTTTAAAAATGTATAATCCCCCCCACAATCAAACAGAATCTGCCATATGATGATTATAGAGCACATTTCAGATCACTTAAGAGAAACATCAAATTTTAATTATTTGCAAATGTTTTCATGCTCCGCCTTCAATCTACCTTAGGTGTCTAAATGTGACACACTTAAGAGAGATTCAGACTTCTAGCCAAAGGGCCATACAAATATATAGGGGCAAACCATAAGAGTGATCACACACACCCACATACCATGGCATTACCTGAATTTTTTTAATGCTTATTTTAAAAGATTTTAAAAAATTACTTAAAGGTTAAACCAACCTTAGTTTAACTTGAGTTTGCTTTTGGGTGTTAGGTGGCTTATCTATATCAAACGGACTGGAAGGCTTCTGAACAGAGTAATTTATTAAAGGCATACTGGTCTGCTGAAGATAAAATGGTCTATAAAGTCTAAAAAATAAAAAGATACATAAAATTCTTTATGATAAAAGAAAACACATTTGAAGTTTTATATATATTTCAAAGTCATGTAATTCACCTGGATTCTGAAATAAACAGAAATCAGTTAAACTTCCCTTCATAATTACAGACCCAATTTTTTAACCTATTAAAAAGTTTTTAAAATTGTGGTAAAACACACACAATAAAATTTACTATCTTAACTATTTTTAAGTGTTCAGTTCAGTTGCATTAAATACATTCAATGTTTTGCAACCATTAACACTATCCAATGCCAGACTTTTTCATCTTGCAAAATTCAAACTCTATGCCCATTAAACAGTAATTCCCTATCCTCCCTTTCCCTCCAGTCCCTGACAACTACCATTCTACTTCCTGTCTCTATGAATTTAATGACTCTAGGTACCTCATTAAGTGGAATCATGAAGTCTTTTATTTCACTTAGCATAATGTCCTCAAGGTTCTTCCATGTTGGAGCATGTATCAGAATTTCATTCCTTTTTAAGGTTGAATAGTAGTCTATTGTATGTATATACTACATTATCCATTCATCTGTTAATAACATGTGGGTTGCTTTTGCTTCTCGGCTATTGTGAATACATTTGCATGTACCTCTTCAAGACCCTGCTTTCAATTCTTTTGGATATATACCCAGAAGTGGAATTGCTGGATCATATGGTATGTCTAAATTTTTGAGGCATTTCCAGTTTTATCCACAGCAGATGCACCATTTTCCAACCCTATCAAAAATGCACAAGGATTCTAATTTCTCCACATTCTCACCAACACTTGTACTTTTCTGTTTTTTGGTGGATTTTTTTGATAGTGGCTATCCTAATGGGTGTGAGGATGAGGTGTAATGCAGTGTAATGATTTGCATTTCTTGGATGATTAGTGATGTTGATTATTAAACAAGTATCTTCTCCCATTCCATGGGTGGCCTTTTCACTTTATTGCAGCCTTTGGTGCACAGACATTTTTAATTTCGATGTAGTCCAATTTACATCTTTTGTTGCTTTTGATTTTGGTGTCATATCCAACAAATCACTGCCAAACCCAATGTCATAAAGCTTTCCCCCAGTGTTTTTCTCAGAAGTTTTACAGTTTTACGTCTTTGAGCCATTTTGAATTAATTTTACATATTGTATAAAGCAAGGGCCCAACTTCATTCTTTTACATGTGGATAACTAGTTTTCTCAGCACCATTTGTTAAAAGGACTGTCCTTTTCCCACTGAATAATCTTGGCATCCTTGTCAACAATCATTTAACTATACATGTAAAGATTTCTTTCTGGGCTCTTTATTCTATCCTACTGGTCTATACATCTGTCCTTACGTCAGCATCAAACTATTTTGATGACTGTTGCTTTGTACTAAGTTTTGATATCAGTAAGTGTAGGCCTCCATGTTTGTTCTTCCTTTTCAAGATTGTTTGGGTATTCAGAGTCCTGTGAGATTCCATATGAATTTTAGGATGGATTTTTTTTCTTTCTGCAAAACAAGTCATTGGGATTTTGGTAGGGAATGCACTGAATCTGTAGATCACTTTGGGAACTACTGACATCTTAACAATATGAAGTCTTCATATCCATTAACATGGAATGTCCTTCAATTTATTGATGCCTTCTCCAGGCCTAATTCTGAATTGCATTTTTCTTCCATAAAAGTACATTTCATAAACAGAAGCATTCAACACACATTTATTACTCAGTTTGAGTACCCAATATAATTCCTTATACATGTCTAATTGAGTAATTAACCACATGTCTGAGTAAATGGAAAGAGAAAGAATTCCCGATTCTCCCACACCAACTTATCCCCCATTAAGATTAAATGTCAGAGTAAGGTTAGGAAAACAACCAAATAAAATGCTAGACTCAGATTAAAATGTTAGACTCAGATTTGTGTTTCCAAATAGTACCTAATTCTTTTTTTACTTATGTAGAAGCAATTGTTAAGTAGTTGTTATAAACCATATGGTACTACGTTTAGCCACAGAATGGTTATTGGCAGTATTAAAAGATGATTATTCTAAACTAGATATTTCGAGGAATTACTATCTGTAACCTGTTAAAACTAAACTCAGTCCTTAAACACAAATTAATTAATGCTACTTTCTATAATGTGTGTGCCCCATACGCACTAGTATAATATGAACATAACATAAAAGGACCTAAAAATATTGATAGAGATAAGTTAATTAGTTAGGTTTTCCTCTGTTGGTATTGTATTTATGTATTTAAATGATAGAAATGAACTTAGATACTTACTGACTCCTATCTTCCACCTTTACAAAAGGCTTTTTGAGTCTACCTACTTGAAAACATATAAAACATGATTATTATACACTTACAAATCCAAGATTTTTTTTTTTAAACAAAATTACTCTGGCTAAAAAAAACAAACCAAACGAAAGAACCCTCACAACTATGTACTGATTAGCCATTTCCTTTCAATTAGAAGTTTTAAGTCTCGGGTGGTTTTTAATAATGTTAACTCACCTAAAAAATAACAGAAGCTCTATCTACATTCTGAGATTCTTAAACTAAATGGATGCCTAAAGAATGTAAAAGTAGAATTCAGGAGCCTCAAGAGTGACTCCTTTTAACAGACAAAATAAAAAACAAAAAAACCCCTCAACTTTTATTTTTAGTAACCTCTAGCTAAAATTTGACATTTCCTCCAAGTTTACATATAAGCAACTTAGCACAATAGTATTACCAGTACTGGTAATTTTGATACAAATTAAAACATATTAATTACTACAAATATCTCAAAGCATCATTTATGCTCATCATTTAAAAATTATAGTCATCAGAATCACTTTTAGAACTTGATTTTAATGTGTAATAAAAGCACGCACATCATCATTTCATTACAAAGTCCTGAGAAAACTGCCCTGTCTGGTGTGGCTCAGTGGATTGAGTGCTGGCCTATGAACCAAATGGTCACCAGTTTGATTCCCAGTCAAAAGATAGACTGGGTTGCAGGCCAGGTGCCCAGTAAGTAGCATGAAAGAGGCAACCACACAATGACTTTTCTTTCCTTCTCTTTCTCCCTCCTTTCTGGCGTCTCTAAAAATAGATAAAATCTTTTTTTTTAAAGTTCTGAGAACTGAATTCCACTAAGTGATTTCTTAGTAATCTAATAATTAAAAAAACATTAAACATTATTCTGAGAAGTAGTTGTCCATAGGTTTCAACAGGCTGCCACAGGGGCTGTTTCTTAAAAAAGCTAGGAACTACTGAATAAGTCATTTAAAGAGGTGTTGACATAAATTTTTTAAAAATCCTCACCAAAGATATAAATTTCCTGATTTTAGAGGGAAAGGAAGGGAGAGAGAAGAAGAAGGGAGAAGGGGAGACACACACACACACCAATGTGAGCACGAAACATCACTTGGTTGCCTCCCACATGTGCTCTGACTGGAGAGTGAATCCACAACCTTTCTGTGTGTGGGACAACACTCCAACCAACTGAGCCAGCTGGTCAGGGTAAGAGCTGTTTACATGATTTTTAAGAAAATTATGTTCCATTTTTCACAACAAACCAAACGCACATTTTAGTACATCAAAATACTTACTTCTTGTTTTCTGTGTGCCAATACCTGCCCTTTTCCCCTAAAAGAAATTGATGTAGTAAAAATCTTGCATTTGAAAACAGTAACCGCAGTTGTGCTCAATATCCTCAAATTATATATACAGGAAAAGAATTATATAAAAGGAAGCTAATTATTTATGTTTTTGTGGGGGGAACTGAGAAAAACTGCTTTTTAAAATCAACTCAGCCAAAGAAACAAAAGGATAATTCAAAAATTAAAGATCTGAACCACTGGAATGGAATTTAGTAATACAAATGCCTTTTTTTACAATACACCCAACTGGTACCTTACATTCTAGTTTTAACTTTTGTCTTGACAGAAAAAAATCAACCAATAAGGATAAAGTACAGACAGTAAAATAATCTAAAAGTAGTCATAAAAATTATATTTATGTCCTTATTCAGCAGAACATTTGTGATAAACTGGACAAAGGAATTATTAAAACATTATTATAGCCCATCAATTCCAGTCAAGATGGAATACATCCAATATGGTCAATCAATCCCACCGATTATGTAGAACTAAAATCTCTAAGCAAAATATAATGAGCAACTACGTGCACACTGAAAAGTAAAGAAAAGCAGGCACATTGTTGAAGGAAGTAAAAACTTGGAGAGACCACCTTTTAGGGGATAAATTTCCCATTTCCCCACCTTTCCTTTTGCCATGCTGCTTTAAGGATGGATCTATAATCATGGAGTTGGTGGAATTAGTGAAGCCCGTGACTACCTCTTCTCTACAACCCCATCTTTCTGGCCAGAAAGAACCAGGAAAGAGGCTCCTGCAGTCCAAGATTATAAAGAGAAGCACTGTATTATATCTTCTTTTTTTTTTTACAATATATTTATTTTTTCTCCTACATTTTAAATTTAATTGTTGTTCAAGTACAGTTTTCTGTCTTTTACTCCCATCCCAGCCTACCCCCCAGTGCTCCCCACCTCCCTCCCATTTCCACCCCCCTTAGTTTTTGTCCATGTGTCCTTTATACTAGTATTAGTTCCTGTAAACCCTTCCCCTTTTCCCCTGAAACTCCCTCCCCTCTCCCCTCTGGTTACTGTCTGCCTGCTCCTGCTCCATCTTCTTTCTTTCCTCCCAGTTTTGCCCTTTGGGTGGGCCCCAGTTATAAAACCACAATTTTAACAGTACCAACAAGCAAATAAAATTGAGAAACTTTGACTTTCCGACTAAAGGAACTAGGAAAAGGGCCACTGCAGACTGGAGAGTGAACCCTTTCACTCCACAGAGAATAGCAACCTGGAGAAGGTGATTCCTAATTCCCTGTGTAAATCCACAGGAGTACCAGGCTTCACTCTAAACTGCATATTCCAAGGACAAAGATAAACCAAGAGCTTTAAAACTTGGAACTAAGGTTGAAACCACTGCCCAAGTCTTGGACTAATCTGTTATTGATGTATATGGAGAACAAACAGAAAGCTCCATACAAGTCTTCGAAAACTGTAAGTGAGATTAGACCCAACACCTACACAAATTGGGAGAGAACTGATAGTTTAAACAAAACTGGATGATTGCCTGCTGAAACAATGATAACAACAACAAAATCAGCCTCCTCCAAAGTATTATAATAGGTCGAAAGCGTACACAACATCAACATTTACAGTGTCTAATATGCAATCAAAAAACTATTTGACACATGAAGAACCAGGAAAACAAGATAAGTTCTTGAGGGAAAAAGATCAGAGGCCAACTCTAAGATGTTCTTCATGTTGGAATGACCACAAAAAGACATATATATGTTAAATGTAAAAGGAATCGAAATGTTATACCACACAAACACTGATTAAAAGGAAGCTGGAGTGGCCCTATCAAGACAACACACTTCAGAACAAGGAATATTAACAGGGACTAAGGAACATTATACAGGTGTGGGCAAAAGTAGGTTTACTGTTGTGAGTACTAAAAATGGTTTATTCTTATCATTTTCCATATGAATAGCTGTAAACCTACTTTCGCCTACCCTGTATAATGATAAGTGGTATAGCCATTCTAGAAAACAGTCTGGCAGTTTCTTACAATACTAAACACACTCATATGATCCAGCAATCATGCACCTTGGCATTTATCCAAATGAGCTGGAAATTTATGTCTATACAAAAACCTGCACATGGATGTTTATAACTGTAACTGCTAAAACCTGGAAGCAACCAAGATGTCTTTCAGAAGATGAATGGATCAACTATGGTGCATCCAGACAATGTAATTATTGATGACAAAACAAATGAGCAAACAAGTAATGAAAATACAAGGAGGAACTTTTAAATGCCTATTACTAAATGAAAAAGCCATTAAAAAAGCCAGATACCATATGTTAGGGGCTAAGGGAAATAGTCTTAAGAAAACTAAGTTGTTTGTTCGACCTTAGCTGCTTGCTCAAGGTTGGGTGGGGGGACCGCACCCACCCCTGGGGCAAATGTTCCAGGAAGTTAACCAGATAGCTTCTTGGAACATTGATCAAGCAGATAGCTTCTTGGAACATCCGTTAGGGGAGAAAATTTTTATCTCTAGCATGAGCCCCTAGGCCAATGGCTAACCTGAGCACAAGCTGTTCATGAGTCCTGCCAGCCAATCACCTTTTGCTTCTGGAAGTTGCTTGCTTGCCCGCTTCTATAAAAACCCTAGCCTGTAAGCGTTAGGCGCGACTCTCATTTGCAGCCATCTTGGCACTCGTGCATCCGGAGGCACCCTGAGAGTTCCCCCCTGCGCAGGTAAAACTTTGGCCAATAAAGTAACATCTTTGAACCTCTGAAGGTCTCCGTCCTTTCTCTTGCGATTTTGGGATATAACACCATACTGTATGATTCCAACTATATGACATTCTGGAGAAGGTGAAATTATGGAGATAGTACAAAGATCAGTAGTCACCAGAGGCAAGTGGGAAAGGAAGGGATGAAGTGATGAAGCATGGAGGGTTTTTAGGTCACAGAAACTAAATTTTAGGATATTATATATTATGATGGTAGACATGTCACTACACATTTGTCTAAACCCAAAGACAAAAGTGAATCCTAATGTAAACTATGGACTTTGAGTGATGATGACTTAATATAGAGTCATCAGTTAGTAACAGATGTGCCATTATGATGTAGGCTGTTGATAGTGGGGGAAGCTTTGTGTATA